AGCAAAATGGACAGATAAAAAGCTGTTAAAGTGAAGGCAGCTGAGATGCCCAAGTGTCTCCAGGTATAATACCATCTTTCCTTCCCTAAGTACCTTTTAGGAAGAAAGGGCTTAAAAATTCCCAAAGGGACAAGAAAGGAGATGAGCTTTGCCGTCTTTGGAGATGACCATGATGCTCATTACAAGCCAGCATGAGCACACACTCCCCACAGCACTCTGATTTTCAGGTTCCTGCCCTTGAGAAACATATATGCACAAGAGCAATAGCCATGGCTAGACGGTGCCTTGCAGCTTTGCAAAGAAATGAAAATCTAAACATCTATCAATAAGATATTAAATGAATTATTGTACATCTATGCTGTGGAATACATACAACAGATAAATGGCATGAACTGGCATGGGAAAAACTGAAAAACATGTTAATTATTAAATTAAAAGGAAAGCAAACTGTGGAAGAATGTGAAGCTTAATTCCATTGATGTAATAGTAAAACCACATACACAAAATTTTATCTCTATATATCTAAGTACATATGTGTGCATCATACATACTATTTTCACCCTTCACCTTTGTCATAAAAGCAAAACTCCTCGGGCCTCCCTGAGGGCACAAGGGGTTAAACACAGCTCACCATGCTGCAGCCTCTGCAGCACAAGTTCAATTCCCCAGCCGGTCAGGAGCTAACCACATGGCACAGCAGACCTCTCCTGTCTCACCCACTGCTCCCCTCAGCAGTGTATTTCAATCAGTCTGCCTGTTCTGTTCCCCACTCTGTCTCTGGTGAATCCTCTCACCCCTTGCACCTCTGACCTGTACTCCATTTCTTATATGCATAAATAAATAAATCTTTAAAACACACACACACACAAAAAAGCAAAAATCCTTTTTGGATATCTTCTGGTAAGTGAAAGGAGAGATTAATGGTAAAAGACAAGTGGTATAGATAACATTAACTTTCAAAAAGCAAGAGATACTTGTACTATATTTCACCTTCCCATAGGCTTGCTGATCTTCCAAAAGGATTGTCTCTGCTGGGAAGCATGGCAGACCACACCCTCTACCCATCCCATCAGGACTGACGCACACCTTGCTCACCTCTACAAGTGGGCCCGACCACATTGCAGCCTGACCTGCCTGGTAAGCAACATTAAAAACAGCATAAAGCAGTACCTTGAATGTAAATGCCTTTCAATATACAGAGTATTAAGTCCATTAGCTCTCCTGTTACCATGCACTAACTGATCCAAAAAAACAAGAGTCGCTATATCTCTGCATAGGAAAATTCATTGCATATTATTCCCTAATCAGATTTTAATTTTTTGACCCTGTGCCAATCTTGCCTAGATATTATTCTGCTCTAAATTGAAGTATTATCAACAAACTTCTCTTTAATATGATTCCTCACTGAATCACTCTTTGAGTAAGGAAAGTCAAACCCCCAGGGTTAGCGTGGAGGAAGCTATTGGAAGAAAATTTAGGAGAGACACAGCTGCTGCTGCTGGCTTAGAATTTCTACTACACACTAAGTATTTGTTGTTGTTGTTTTCCCCTGTGTGAAGCACAGGATACAAAGGATTGAGGAAAGGTTTAGCCAGATTTCTTGGAAGGGCAAATCCAGAATGATCTTTGGGTTGACGCTAAGCAATCTACCCAGGTAATACTCCTCCTGTGGCTCTCTTTTCAGTCACTATTCCTTTACTACAATATGCTCTTTGGTTTCAACTTCATGTTTTTATCCTTACACTATGCTAAAATCCAGGATAAGAGGGAAGGAAGCACATGGACTATGGGTGATTTCATGGTGACAGGTACTCTACGGTAGCAATAACTGATGGAAAGAATCCTAATGTTACCACAATTAAAAGAATAAAAAATTAATCCAGGATATAATCCAAATGGCCAGAAGTGGAAAAATGACCATTTCTACAACAGAATCTTAAGTACCCATTAAGGTCAATATTTCCAAATAAATCAAGAAGGTATTATACCCTGATGCTAAGTGAAAATTTAAAAAAAAATGCAAAATGAATAGTAAGATATCAACCAATAAACACTTTTACAAGGGAAAAAAATAAAGAATAGACCAAATATTAACAATAGTTACTTCCGGATGGTGGAATTATGAGTATTTATTTTCTGCTTTCCCACACTTTTGACTATTTTTGAATGTTTCATCTATGAGCACAAGTTACTATTTTAACCAGAAAAAAACATAATAAACCAGATTCTAAGAATGAGAGCTGTGTCCCTCAAAGTCCAAAAGCTAAGATCTGGATTATGGAGTAAAAAGAGAGAAAATGAAGGAGGCCTCTGTGACATCTGCCCTCCAAACCTGAGAAGTCACTATATCTATTCAGGGGTCTCTCTCATGAAGGTTCACCTCAGGGCAGATTGAGAAATTTGACCTCCCCAAAATGCCTTAACATTACTATCAGAAAGAACTCAGATCACTGAATTCACTAGTCTATTCTCACATCCAGCTAAATTGATGAGGTTTATTTACTGAAACTCAAAAAGAATACTCAGGAATTATATTCATCTTGGGTATCTCTTTCCCTTGGGAGATTATGGTAATCTGACAAAATAATATTGATAAAAGGAAGAGCAGGACAAGAAGGAAAGGTTACACACCCAATGGCCACAAAAATTCCCTCTGTACTGCCAAAGATGAGGTTGCAAAGCCAAAACTTTGGGTGCATTTCTCTTGACACAACCAGCTTCCATCCTATAATTCCCAACAGACCTTTTCCTGGGAGGCAGTCTTGCTAATCACCAAAGATGAAAAAGGCAAAATAGCAGTTTAGAAAGTAAAGAATGAAATAGAGGAGCTTCTTTAAGATGGAACAAGAGTGACTTAGACACTGTGAAATATAGTACAAGACACAGTAATGTGTATTTACTTGTAACTGCTTTAACTGACCACCTGCTTCAGAGATTCCTATGAAATTACTATTTCAGGCCTAGTATTGCTCACTCTCAGAAGTCAAACACCTGACTCCCAACTCCCAAATGGTTGATATGGAAGGTTCTGGAAAAACATCATCCCAGTCCATTTGCACTTGCTCTGAGAGGCTGCAGAGAGTATGTTTATATGGTCAAGTCCATCAAGTACTTAAAGAGTGTATGCTATCCTATACTTACATTAATTTAGAAGTGTTTACATTCCAGGCAGGATGCTAAGCACTTTATGTCTTTCCCTCTAACACAATTACTATCCTTACTTCACAGATGAGGAACTGGGGTAGAAAGAGAATCTGTGTCTACTTCTGCTCAAGTGAGAATGCTGGGATATCAGCTTCCTGGGGGTGACCTAACAAATAACCACAGCTTGGTGACTAAAGACAACAGAAGTTAATTCTTTTAGAGATTTGTGCTCCAGAAGTGAAAATCGAGGTATCAGCAGGGTCATGCTCCATCGGAAGACTCAGGAAAGAATCTCCCCTTGCCTTATCCTAGCTCCTGGAAACCCCAACTGTCCCTTGGCTTGTGGTGGTGTAACTCTGATCTCTACCTCTCTTGTTTGTTTTTAGCTTTTAACAATTGTTATAACTTATCTTAGTAGTATCAGTATTATTCACTTGGCATTAGTAACTGAAGTGTGGATTTTAAATAATAGTGTGTTTTGAAAAGTTCACAGGATCTTTGTTGAGGCTCAGCAGTTGTCATGAGTCAACCTGGTTTCTGTAGAGCAATTTCTGAGGACAAATTTAGGTCTCAAAAAAATATATATAATTCTATGGCAATAGAAGTTACCTGGTCCTACATCAAGATATAGTTCTATGGTTCTCCATCCAGGCTGCATATTAAATTTTCAGGAAGTTTTTTTAAAAAGAGATGACTAGCAACATCCCCAGAACAACTGACTTAGAAGAGCAGGGACCTGAACCCAGGTGTTTATATCTGCCTCTCTTGTTACAAGGCTGTCTTCCCTAGGTGTCCCTGTCTATTTCTCCTTTTGTATGAAGACACTAGTGATATTGCATTTGGGACCACCCTTATCCAGTACAACCTTATGTGTGCTAATTATCTATCAAACCATCCTATTTCCAAACAAGGTCAGATTCTGAGGCTCTCAGTGGACATGAACTCTAGGGAACATTACAACTAAAACTACTGGATTCAGATGTGGCAGTGGTAGCTACACAGCCCCATCCTGAGTCACTGTGCTAGTTTTGCGGACTAGGAACCCCTACTCTGTTAACACCATTCGTGAGTGCACTAGGCAAGGAGCGTGACCTGCTCCATCCTCGGGAGCTGATGATCTACTGAACGCAGATGAGATAATGCAGAGGAAGAGCACATTGCTGAAGTATCAGTGCAGGCTTCTGTTTGACACAGAAACCCAGAGGGGAATGTGGCAGATGGGGGCAGGAGGTGGTGAGTGCAGACAGCCTCTGGACATGGTGGGAGGAAAGACCTAGACTAAGGCAAGAGACAAGACAAGAAATCACATATTTCAAAAGGTAACTGTATGCTGAGGACCATAGGAAACAAAGCCGGAGTAAGGGTACTGTAAAGATTCTTCAAAGACAAGCATAGGAACTTGAATTTAATTTGGAAGGAAAGAAAAATTAGAGGGACCAAAATGATAAAATTGGGGCTTAAAGACTCATCTGGTAGAGGTGGGCAGGATAAGGATAGGTCTTGGAAATCTGAGTGTTGAAACTTCTTGACAAAACATGCTTGTGTGCATGTAACACCAGAGCACATGAGCATCATCTTTACATCTTCTCCTGACAGTTTAACAACTTGCTTAGAAAATAAACCAATAGGCAGATGCTTACCATACTTTCACCCCTCCACTAGGAGAGTCCCCCTATGGCCAGCCCTCCCAACACATACACACACACACACACACACACACACACACACACACACCAGCTTCCCTCCCAAGTCCCATTTACCCATTTGCACCCCAGCCAAGAGCTGAGTGAAGAGAAAGAGAAATAAAAATGCCTGAAGCAAAAGCCAAAAGAGAAGGCAGCCAAGACATAAATCACCTTTGCACCGCTCACAACAGGCTCCCTTCTGCTTGATGGCCAGGGCACAGTCTCTCGAAAGCACGGGGCACTTCTCTCTCTTACAGGTCACTTCCTTGTTCTGGGCAAAAAGAGACAAGAGACATTTGAAATAAACTTCAAACAGAACCTCCAGTACTCTCACACATGGTTGAGGTTTTCCTCGCCTCCCTCTTCCTTACCTTGCCTTCCTCTTGGGAGGCAAAAACTCTACAATAGCAAATACGATTTTGCCCTTTCTGGAACAGAGATATCCATCCAAGAACATAGGAATTTCGAGATTAGGGACAGATGACAGAGGATGAAAAGTTCTTTTATTACAAGTCAACATAACCTAGATAACCAAATGGCAAAAGAGGTTTTCCCCTGCTCTGTTCTAAAGTTTCTTTTTAGTACACACTATAGAAACGATAATATTTGGGTAATTCATATTTTGCCCATTGGGCTACCTGGGCCAGGACTGCATTGTGAGAACAAAAATATTTGCACACGGCCTTCCAACAATCCTTAATAGTAGAGTGCATTAAAATGCAGCAATCTAAAGTTCCAACTCAAATAATGACAAAGTTGAGGATTGAATCGGCTCAGTAAGAGAAAAAATAATATTCCCCATGCCAAGCAGAGACACAGTCGTCAGTGTTTTATGGCCGTGGGCAGCTGCATTATATTAGCACTTATGCTAATGAAAGTGTGCTAAGCATTTGCATCTTTGGATTTATTCTAAAAGGTTAGGTGTCAAAATGTTCTAGAGAAGATCCAAACATGATGTAAATGTCTATTTGTACACAGACTATGCACACGAACCAAAAGTGCTGTCACAAAACTTGAGTAAGATATGATTTTTAACAAGGGCCTATGAAATGTTAGTTACTGCTGTTTCATTCTTTTTAAAATCCTCTGAGCTAAGAAGTATTATAGTTATCCTGGTTTACAAACAAGAAAACTGCTGCGTAGAAAGGGCATGTAACTTTTCCAAGATTGCACAGCTTTGTAATGGCGGAGGTAGATTTCACATTGAACTCATAAATGTGTACATCCTTTCTCTACCTTAAGATTGGTGCTACCATGTTCATTGATTTTAGAACATTTTGGAAAGGAGGGACTGATCAGGCCCCTCTCACCTGAAGATGAACTTGGAAGCCTCCTAACTCAATTCTGAAAATGGACTAACAGTCTTGGGGAGACCCACAGTGTACCTATATGCTTCAATGTTCGATAAGAATAAGAAAGATCTAACCATTTTTGGTCCAATACCAAGAAGGGATGTGTGTGTGGTGGTGGCTGAGATAGGGCGGGGGCTGAGGGTCCAGACCAAGCCCATACACCCACTTCAAGCCCTAAGAGAAAACATATTGCCTCTCTGCAGCTCTCCCCACTCCCATGCTTCCAGGGTCTAATTCTAAAATGACCCCAGACTGTCATCTCCACTCCCTTCAAATTATCAGAACCACCAAGAGTCCCAGAACCCCATTCCCTCCAAGTCACCAATTAGGATTCCCCAGATGAGGTATATGGAACCTGGGAAGGTTGGGCCTCACCTTCCCAAGAGTTCTGTGTCTATTTCAGTCTTGCAAATCAGAACCCCTGGGCAGTTTCTGTTCTTCCTTCTTCTTTCCTTTTCTCCCTTCCTTTCTTCCTTTTACTTTTTCAGATGGTACAGTTTTGTATTTCAAATGTTGTATGTTGTATTTCGTATCACGATTACCAGCAAAAGTCTAGTTTCCATCCACTACCATATAATTGACCCTTTAACCATTTACCTGCTCCCTATCCCCTTTCCTCTCTGGTAAATACCATTCTGCTGTCAGAGTAAGGGTTTGCTTTTGTTTTGCTTTGTCTCTTTATGATATCTGTATGAAATCATGCAGAATTTTTCTTTTATCATCTGACTTATTTTGCAGAGCATTATACCTTTTATGTATTATTATCACAAGTGACACGATTTTTGTCTTTTTTATAGCTGAGTAGTATTCCACTAGGTATATATAAAACAACTTCCTTATCTATTCATCCACTGATGGATTCAGGTTGTTTCCATATCTTGGCTATTGTGATTACTGCAATAAATATAAGAATGCACACACCTTTTCAAATGAATAATTTTGCATTTTTTGAATAAAGCCTAAAAGTGGAATAGCTAGATCATGCAGTATTTCTATTCTTTTTTTTCTTCAGAAATTTCCATAGTAACTGCACAACTTTGCATTCTAACCAACAGTAATGAGGGTTCCCTTTTCTCCAGGTCCTCCCTAACATTTATTGTTAACACTTTTTCATAATAGCAATTCATTAGTGGTATACGGTAATACCTCATTGTGGTTGTGATTTGCATTTCCCTAATAATAAGTGATGATGCACATATTTTCACATGTGTGTTGGCCATCTGTATGTCTTCTTTGGTAAAATGCCTATTTAGCTCCTCTGCCCATTTTTTTTTTTTTAAAGATTTATTTACTGGACCTCCCTGGTGGTGCAAGGGGTAAAGCACCACACTATGAAGCAATCCACAGCCTCCGCAGCACAAGTTCGATCCCTGGCGAGGGAGTAACACACATGGTGCATCAGACCTCTCCTGTCTCACCCGCTGCTCCCCTCAACAGTGTATTTCAGTCAGTTTGCCTGTTCTGTTCCCCACTGTTTCCCACTCTATTTCTGGTGAAACCTCTCACCAGACCCACATCATCACCCTCTGGTGAACCCCCCCCCCACATCACTGGCCTGTGCCCCAGCCCTTGTATGCATAAATAAATAAATCTTTAAAAAAAAAAGATTTGGAATCTTTTAAAAATCTTTTTTAAAAAAGATTTTTAGTATTTTAAAAAGCAGATTTGGAATATAAACAAAAAAATTCTCAAAAACCAAAATCTTTTTAAAAAAGATTTATTTAATTATGCATACAAGAGCTGGGGGCACAGCCAGAGGTGCGGGGTAAGGGGTGTGTGAGAGGATTCACCAGAGACAGAATGGAGAACAGAGCAGGCGGATCTACTGAAATACACTGAGGGTCACAGCAGGCGAGACAGGAGAGGTTTGCTGTGCCATGTGGGTCAGGCACAAACTTGACCAGGTTCCCTGACCAGGCATCAAACTTGTGCTGCAGTGGCTGCGGATAGTTCATAGTGCTGACACTTAACCCCCTTGCACCACCAGGGAGGCCCAACAATGTTAATTCTTGACCCAGGAATGTTGACTGTCTTTTCATTTCTTGTATCTTCTTCAATTTCTGTCAATAGTGTCTTACAGTTTCAGTGTACCCTGTATAGTATTTAACAAAAATAGGTGTAATGCCTGAATTTCTGCTCTGATCTAGAAACCAAGCCTAGATGTTTTTTTCAAGTTCCTCCCCAGATAATTCCAATGTGCAGCCAGGACTGAGAACCAATATTCTATGAAGAGTGTTCTGTTCCAGTTAGACTGAAATGCACTAAGGAGCTATCCACAGTCCCTTAGCAAATGGCAGACATACTATCTGAATGCAGGTAACCCAGTTCCAAACCTCCAAAGCTCCTTCTCTTACCCTTTCTTCTTCATAATGATGATGGTATTATACTCACCGTAAGTCAAAGCCCAGAGCTTTATTTTCATTAATTTTTAAGTTACTAGCACAATGCATAATTAAAGTCACAATTCAAATTAGAGTGGTATATTTTTTTAAAAAAGAATAGTGCACCCCTACAACCATCAAAGTAATTAAGAATAATGATCAAGTTCAGTCACTATTGAGAAAAGTACGGAGGATTCTCAAAAAACTAAAACATGAACTACCATATGATCCAGCAATTCCACTTCTGGGAATACATCCAAAGGACACAAACACTAATTCAAAAGATATTTGCATCCCCAATGTTTATAGCAGTGTAATTTACAATAACCAAGACATGGAAAGTGTCCATCCATGTATGAATGGATTCAGAAGATATGTGATATATATATATATATATAGAGAGAGAGAGAGAGAGAGAGAGAGAGAGGGAGAGAGAGAGAGAGGAAGAGAGAATATTATAAGAACAAGGAAATTATAACACTTGAAATAACATGAATGGACCAAGGCATTATGCTAAGTGAAATAAATCAGACAGAGATGAATACTATCTGATCTCACTTACTTGTGAAATATTTTTTTTAAATCTCATGGAAAAAGAGATAAGAGTTGTGTTTAGTAGAGCAGGAGATGGGGGCAAGGAAATTGGAGGAAGGTGATTAAAAGTACACACTTTCAGTTCTAAGACCTAGGGATGTAACGTCCAGCATCTTTTTTCAATCTTTTTTCTTTTCTTTTTATTGTATCTATCTGTGATGAGGCTATTAGCTGAACCTACTATATATATATATATATATATATATATATATCTCACACATATATATATCAAATCATCATGATATTTGCCTTAAAATTTTCAGTGGTGAATGTCAATTATTTCTCAATAAAACTGAGTGCAGTGGGCAGGGAATAACAATGAGGTGTAAATGCTGTTTAGCTTTATTAATGGTGACTTTACTTTGTAAAGTACTGTTCCTGAAAACCAGTTTTAACCAACTCTCCCCACCCCATCTGTGAAGTAAACTGTCTCCCCAAACAATGCCTCTGTTACTTTGACTTTATGCATTTAGCAAAGTTGGTTGCAAACCTTAGGGAAAGGCCAGCCCTGCAAACATATCTCTCTGAAGGGAAGAATCCTTAGACAAGGAGAGTTCAAAGTGCTAAGAGCAGTAAGAATTAGTGTGAAGGAGTAGTTTGGAGTCTGACAAATAGGAAGACACGTACTCTCTTAAATATAGGAACGCTTTGCTAAATTAGAAACCCAGTGGGAGCAAGTCAAAATCCATAACAGGATCCCAAGGTTCATAATAAATAGCTTGTAATTACAGTCCAGCACAAAAGTTATTCCAACCAGATGGTTGGTAGATTCACATCTGGAATTTTTTTTGTACACACATACACACACCCACAGAAAACAAACCTAAACCTTAGCTGTGGGTTCAGTGGGGTTTTTCCACTTTGAGTAACACTCGGAGTTTTTCTGTAATCTACCAAGGGTCACCCCAGTAGAGAGTTGCTATATCTGATCATTTCCCTGGTGT